TGTGTAGGTGTATGTTAGACTAGTTTTTTTTTTAAGTGTTTATGTAGTTAATAAAGTCTTATTTGTATACACTTGACGTTGTTCATTGTTTGCTCATAACTGGAGTCACTTAATCATGCAGATTTATGCTACAAGCTCGGTGTAGAATTGTACAGTAAGAAAGTTATTTCCCTTAACCAGGAAATTAACGTTCTTAGAATTGACAGACAGTTGACCCTGAGAGGTCAAGTAAATATCTACAGCAGATCTAAATATTTATAATTAATTATAACTAGTTATGATTAATTATTCATATTTCCCCATGAATGAGCAGATTCGCTACATTTTAGAAATCATTACAATTAATTTGACTCTCAAGAAACATTTCTGATTATTATCAATGTTGAAAACAATTTTGCTGCTTCATATTTTGTGTGGAAATGGTGATCCACTTTATTTTTCAAGATTTTTTGATAAATTGAAAGTTTAATGAATAGCATATTTTTTTTCATTTATCAAATATATTAATTACATTTGTTAATGCATTTATTAAATAGAAATCATTTTAAATGTCTTCACCCAATTTTTATCACTTTCATGCATGATGAATAAAATTATTAATTTCTCTCTCTTTTTAAATCTTATACAAATGTTTGAGTGGTATCATTGTTTCCACAAAAATATTAAGCAGCAAAACTGTTTTTAACATTGATAATAATGAGAAATGTTTCTTGAGCAGCAAATCAGCATATTAGAATGATTTCTGAAGGATTATGTGACACAGAAACTTCTCTTTGTAAACAACAGATTTATAAACGTTTCTAATGACAAATGTTGCATTCCAAAATGCAAATTACAGCGGCTCAAACCAAGCGCAGCTAGCACTGAATCAAAACTAAAAACAGTACAGTTACAGCAGACATGTAGCGCGTCAGACTACAGCCTATTATATAATTACATTAGGGCTGCACGATAAATCGCATGCGATATTTAACGCGCATCTTATCAGTAAAGCCGGTTCTGTAATCAGCGGTAAATCTCCATCACGTGCGTGCTTTCACATTGAGCAGTATTAACTACACAGAGCCGTTGTTCACTGACGAGCTGCGCAAAAAATCGCGCGAATATGAACGTGGTTTTGCGCAGCTCGTCAGTGAACAACGGCTCTGTGTAGTTAATGCTGCTCAATGTGCTCAAAGCACGCACGTGATGGAGATTTACCGCTGATTACAGAAGCGGCTTTCTGACAAGATGCGCGTTAAATATCGCATGCGATTTATCGTGCAGCCCTAAATTACATCACAACCGAATTTTATGACAGCACTAAGCAATCTCAAATTCTCACCGCCATTCATAAAAAGTCACCGGGTCGAGTAACACGTTTCAGCGCTGATTCTACTCGCATTTGGCACTTTGAATCATTTGAACGCTTTTAATGGTCCTGCAGATGGCACCGCGAGCATGTGCAGCGCTCTCAGGACCATTCCGTCCATGATGTTTTAGAAAACAATCTTTTGGCAGTTTATTTAGGTAATTGCTTAAATATTTGCGCAATTTCAATCATCATGCAGTAATTTTTTTTCTTCTTCTGCGACTAACCGACTAATACAATTTTGGTTGACCAAGCTTCTTCTCTTCAACTAACGGTTAGTCGACTATTAGGGGGCAGCCCTACTGTGACATCAAATAAATATACTGCCAAAAGTACTGATTTATTTAAATTCTTTTGTATTTCTGGGATTTTATGGGGCTCTAAAGTTAGTTCTGAAGCAGTAGACGTACACAAACCTTCAGCTTCCTCTCTGTCTTCATCTTCGCTCTGGCTGGAAGGATGCGGCCACTCAAAGCCCTCTGCGTAAGCACCAGTGTACTTCTTCACCAGATCATCCAATGGCACTTCAGCTACAAGACACAAACACACAGTTTATAACAGTTGCTCTGCTATATGAGTTTTCAGTGGCTAATGGCTGCTGTAATGCAGAATTATAAATAAATAACCAAAAATGTTGCATACTGAAACCATACTGAAAACGTTATGAAATTAATTATTAGCCTGTGCACAAAATTCAATTGCATCTTAAAATCCACTAAAAACATTTGAAAACATTTATGAAATTATTAAATTGTATGAACAGATTTATATAACTGTATAATGTTACAATACATTTCAAAAAATTTTGAGAAGGCATGATCAATAACCTTAAAAATGAATTATATTATTATATAATTCAGTCTATGTCTAAACATGTAACACACTATGCTCGTACATAGTCTGATATATTTAAAAAATATTAAGGAGGAAAACAAAAAATGTGTTACTGTTTAAAGACATGCCCATAAGTTTAAGATGTAAAACTGACCTTCTTTTGTTAGTTCGGCCAGCTCTGCTTTCTGATCAGCTGCCACCTCCATGGCCTCCTGCTCCTCTATTGTACTTTCCTCATCTTCAACTGCAAAACAACATTAGATCAATCAGCAGCATGCACACAGAGAACGGTAAGGAAACTATGTATAAATTCACTATGTACCCTCTACATCTGACAGCGAGGTGCTTGACTTTCTCTTGCGGGATGGGCCAGTCTCCTGCTGAAAGGGAAAAAAGGGAAGACAAATTGTCAAGTACAATCAAAGGATGAGTGAAGCAGCGATGAGGAAGGATCTTGGAGAACTCATGGAGAAGATCTTACCCCTTTACTCTCTTTATCTGACTTCTCTCCAGATGACTGGGTCACTTTAGCACACTTGCCTGTAGCAATACAAAGTCTCTTCTGAATTAATAAACTAAGTCTGAACATTTAGTTAAGATCGGTCAGATAACTTTAATTAATCTCACCTTTACTCACAGCCTTCTGCAAGCTAAGAACTTTTTGTTACTATGTATAAATTCACTATGTACCCTCTACATCTGACAGCGAGGTGCTTGACTTTCTCTTGCGGGATGGGCCAGTCTCCTGCTGAAAGGGAAAAAAGGGAAGACAAATTGTCAAGTACAATCAAAGGATGAGTGAAGCAGCGATGAGGAAGGATCTTGGAGAACTCATGGAGAAGATCTTACCCCTTTACTCTCTTTATCTGACTTCTCTCCAGATGACTGGGTCACTTTAGCACACTTGCCTGTAGCAATACAAAGTCTCTTCTGAATTAATAAACTAAGTCTGAACATTTAGTTAAGATCGGTCAGATAACTTTAATTAATCTCACCTTTACTCACAGCCTTCTGCAAGCTAAGAACTTTTTGTCGTTTGTCATAGATCTCAAAATGCAGCTTGATTTCTACAACCTGTGGTAAGACAGAGAGAAAAAAAAAACTCTTTATGAGTAACTAATACAAACCTCCACATACAGTGGAATAGCATTTGTCACAGTGAGATTTTGTCTAAATGTGAATACTAATTTATAATAAAGATATGATGCATTAATGAACCCAAACACATGTGAATGCCTGAGGTTTCTAAGCATCTTAAAACTCATACAAAATAATTACTTGATTTTATTTTATTTTTTTATTTTTCAGTTTTGTTCCAGTACTAAAGTATAAGTCAGTGTTGTTATTGCTAACTAAAACTAAAGTTAAAAACTATGAAATATAGTTTTTGTTAACTGAAATAAAGCTGAAATAAAATGTCAACATAAGACGTAAAAAAAAAAAAGGGAGAAAAAATTTGATTTAAAATTAATGTTGCCTTGGCAAGTAACTAAAAAGAGTTTAAGTTAAAGTACTAAAATTACTAAAACTAGAATAAAATATATAATAAAATTCAACTAAAATTCAACAGTATTATGATAAATAATATTATAATACTAAAATAATATTGGTATAAATGACATGTAAATGTACCTGTTCGATATTGGACCAGAAGCAGTCAACCCCGCGGGCGATGGTGCTGGCAATGTGCCGCAGCCTCATCTCCTCCTCCCTCTTCTCACGTTCCTCCATCTTCTTCTGTTCAACATGGTAACGTGCACATGTGCGCACAAGCTGCAGAGAGAGAGATTGTTTAACTTAAAATCGAAGCTGAATTTTAGGCTGCTCCATATTGAACGGACACTGGCACTAGATCATGTGGTCAAAACATTGAGGTTACATCTGACCTCTACATCGGCTGTACATATAATCATATATTTACATCTAATGTACATATAATCAGTTTCTAATATCACAGACTGAGTGTGAGTCTTCTCACTTTCTTGGCAGCAGCCATCTTCCAGCGCCTTTCCTCGGCAAAGTCAGCAGCCATCCACTGCATCTCCTCCAGAAGGTAGTCCCAGTGGGATTTGGGCCTGCAGGCCTCCTGCAGCTTGGGTAAGCGGCTAGCTGACCACTGGCCTTCTTTACGAAGCTCTGCAATACGCTGGTGCACATGACTCTCCTACAATGACACGTTACACTCTTGTGTGAGATAATATAGGCAACATATACTACAAAATGTGCTACTTTAATGCATACTAGAAAGATATTCTTCTAATCTGAGAGTTCTCACCAGCTTGGCTTGTTCTGCTTGCTTGTCCTGAGAGCATTCCTGTGAGTTCTGCCCAACTGGACTCTGACCCAGACCGGACATTTTCAGCCCGGTGGTGCCATTCGTGGTAGCGAGTTTGGACTGAGCAGCAGAAGAGAGGCTGGGGCCAGTACTGGGGGTGCGGACCGGAACAGAAGGGTGTGGGGAGGAGAGAGAGGACGGGGATGTTAGAGGAGCAGGAGACATGGCAGGGTTGGAGAGAGAGTTGGACAGCAAACGCTGGGCAGGCTGGGAAGAATCTGATCCAGGACGCACAAGTGCCACAGTCTGAAAAAGAGAGAGGATGAACTGTAACAAAATCTACTGTTGCGAGTAGGGCTGTGCAATATATTGAATATTCATGATATAGTCATAATGATTTTGCTGTTGATACAAAGTAATGAATTTATTGCACTTTTTATTTGCCTATTATGTTTCCTAAAGAGAGTTTCATCAGAAAAAATTTTGATTCTTCCTATACAGCAGATTTTTTAATAGATTCTCTGATTAAAACATCAGCAGCAAAAATGACTTTAGAGTTTGATTCATTTTTCGTAAATTAGTTGAAACCACCCAGTTAGTTCACAATTCAACTGTTCATTTGCATCATCCCTCAAATGTGGCATTTATGTACAAATGTTTTGGCAAAAATATGAATAGGGAAGTGTTTAGTTCTGTGTGTTTTTGCTGTAGTGTATACAATTAAATAATTTGGCTAAACTTATTTTTTTACGTATATTTAATAAAAAACCTTATAAGATAAGGTCACAGCAATAAATGTTTTTAAATTTTCCTCGGTGGGAGAAGACACTTAACACAAAGTGAAAATATCAATCAAACTCAATTGTTCATTTGCAAGCCTCTGTGTGGCAATTTTGCTAAATGTTTTTTCCCCCTTCTTTTTAATTTAGTGAAAAGTTTGGAAAACATGCTTTGATTATTTAAGATTTTATAGTTTTACTGTTTTTTTTTCTGTAAATATCAAGCAATATTATTTTATCTATATTGCCCAGTGTGTTTATTGCAACAGTATATAAATCATTTTCATTCTCCAACGCAAGACAGTCCAAAAGCAAGAGAAAAGCTAGAAATGTGCCCATCTTAACATACTTTTATTACTACCATCATAAGCAGAACAAGCTTTTTTTTAAACAAGGAAGAAAAACTTTTCAGTGTGGTTTTCTGTGGCATAGTCCTAAATGTCTTATAGCATACTCACTGCCTGTCCAGGCTGCATGACCGACTGCTGCTGTTGCTGCTGCATCTGTAGGTGGAGTCCTGACTTCATCTGCTGAAGCTGTGCCTGCAGCTGCGCATGTGGGTTGACTGGAGCCAGCACGGCCCCGGCACCCTGCACCTTCACCTGGAGCTGACCACCAGCCACTGGAGCCTGCTGGTC